AATAATTTTGTAAAAGTCATGACAAAGACTGCGATGTATGATATTTTTAAAATCATATGTTACCAAAAAAATAAAAGAAATGAGTAAGTAAGTATTCATTACAAACACAACAATAATCAGAAAAACAGTGTCTTGTTACTTTTAGTATATTGAACAGGGTTGCCAACTCTTATTTTTCAAATGGGGTTTTTGAGAGTCAAAATGGGGTACATTTGGGGTACATTTCTTTTTAGAAAGGGGAACGACTCTGGAGTACATCATTTTCCTCCTGAAATGTTCGATTTAATTGAGAAAACGATGAAGTAAACCTTCTTTTGTAGAAAGTAACATAATATTTCACTATGGTTATAACTTAATTAGCTTTATTGTTCATTTTCTATCAAAAAGCACTCTGCTAGTTAGTTCATAAATTCACAATTGAAAACAATACAATTAAAAAGAAATACAAAATTATACATTAATACATGTTCAATATGACGATTAATTAGATAAACACCACCATTAGCAATAGAAAAATCTGATTTACATACAGAACAGTGGACAGAATATTTATCAGTTCGACATTCTCTAAGAAACACTGCATATTTTAGATCGTTTAACCATTATTTATTGAAGACACAACGTCTTTTTGACTTTGATGATAAAGAGATATTTTTTTCTTCGATATTAATAGTTGGTTGGTCTCGAAAACAATAAACTTCTTTACTAGTTGTTGCTTCTAAACCTTCAGAAGTTCTATTTCATAAATTTCTTTCAATTCCATATGAAAACTATCATCAAGTCAATTGAAAAGAAAATTATACCTAGACTCATTTTTCAGACAATATATGTTTATTAAATATCAAAAGAAAAATACTGAAACTATGAGAAGTGACAAAAGGAGAAAATTCATTAAAACTTATTTCATTGTTCATAGCAAAAATAGTAGATAAAATTGAATAATCCAAGATGAAGTTGGACATTAAATAATATGGATGTTGATATGTATTGACCAGTTCTTCACCCATACATTTTATTATAGATGTCTGTGTAAGACAGACAAAAATCTAGTGGGGAATATAGCATATTTTCATTAGAAGATTTATAAATTGTACTAAAGACTTAAAAGCTTGAATGGGGTACAGAATATGTACCTCATGAGGTACACAATTTTGTAAGGTACAAAGCGATGAAATGGGGCACTGTACCCCAAAATGGGGTACAGTTGGCAACCCTGATATTGAACATTGAATTTGATCTAGAATAACAAAAATATATAAATATCGGTAAATGATCATTGCTAGAGCCGATGAACGAAGAAAACTTATACTATTGATTTAAATATCGGAGATTTCTTCGTTTGTCTACAAATAATACAAAATCATGGAAAATATATTTTGGCAGTAAACTGTAAAATGATCTGATTATATCCATTACAAAGTTCGACACAGGAAAAAAGAAAAGGGCTACTAATGACTTGATGAATCATTTTTTTAGTCAAATGATATCTTCTATATACGAACAGTTCTAAATCATTTTTTCTCTTTTAGAGTTTTTACAAAATATCCATGATATGCATAAGTTAGAAGAAACAGTTTTATAACTAACTAAATTATCAATTAGATCAATCTATCGTATTTCTGTATTCATATGAAATAAACAATACGTGAAGAAATATTCTTATATTAATCAACTAGACAGCAATGATTTATGAACTTTTTTGAATTTACTATTTCCTTTTATTTCTTTTGCTTAAGATTTATGTTCTCTTCTTCTCTCAACAAAAAAATATCAATTTCAAGCAAAGAAATATGATCTACTCATATAATGATACGTCATAGGCATTCACGTGTAGATTATTGATCATTACGTTAATTTAAATATAATTAGATCGATCATCTAAATGTTTATTTGAGATATTTTGAAATTCGATTCCTATGAAGTGTTTAATATACTAGTCATTTATATTGTTATCAAAAATCTGCAAGTTAAGAGATTTTATTTCAGTCTTTTGAATTATTACAGGTATCAACTGAAAACAGTATGAAATATCTTATAATATATTATGATTTCTTTATTATACAATATCCATAAGGTCTAATATCATCAGCACCAGGTGATATCCAAGAATCTCCGAATCCAGTTTTATCACCGTTATTTTTTATGAAAGTCTTTGGATTGACTCGATTGTGAAGCACAATATAATATTGTTCTCCATCATAAGTAAAAGTGTAAGCATAAAGTTTTGCTATATTAATATTATGAGTTAAGTAGATATTTCGTTCATAAGGGTGTGGTTGTGAGTGTTGTACTCATCTAACACCCACATCGACACCTACACCAACACTCACATCCACTCCCACAGCTATGCCTACACTGAAATGCGCCTCACTCATGCCCTTTTTATTTATAGTAAAGAAATAGATGGAGAGAAAAGATGGGTTGTTTGTATTAGAAATCATGCTATTTTGCATAACTTTGTCAAACCGTTCTAAGATAGATGACATTAAAGGAATATTCTCATGAATTATCGATCAGTTCTGATGCTTCTTTGGCTTCTTCGATGCGTCTTTGTAGTAATCTTATTTTTCGATTAATCCCATAAAAGTTTGGCTTTAATAGTTTCATTGCTTTTTCGAACGAGTTCAAAGCTAACTTATAATTTGCAAGAGTCATATGAAGTAAACCAATATCGCGTACCATTTCGTAGTTTTGAAAAGAATCCACATTCTTGCCTTGTTGGAATCTCATACTTTGTTCTAAGCAATTAAGTGCTAATTTGTAATTATCTTTTATTATGTAAATGTAACCCATTCTCTCCAAACATATCGCTTGAATATTGGTGGTATTCGTCCAATGCGAAATCGCACTTTCCAAAATGAATTGAACTTTTTCATAAAAACGAAAAGCTTCGTCGCCTTGATCAGTACTATCGTAAGCACTTTCTACCAAATCATGTAGATGCTCCATTAAGTATTCAGTATGATTATATCCAGATGGAAAAGCTTGCGGAAATGCCGTTAGTATTCGTTTCACTGCCTTCAAAGTCGTACTATAATCAACATTAGTATTGAGTATTTTGATAAAATCATCCAAAATTGACCGATCGTATTCTTTTTTCATTTCAATTCGCTGCGAGCATACGCTTTTGATTTGCCACACCCACAACGGTCCAAAAATATCACTTTGTAATACGAATTGAAGTTTGTGATAGAAGCGAAAAGCTCTACTGCTCGTATCGGCACCATCATAAGCGTTTATTACTAAATCATAAAGATACTGCGTTAAATATGCAGCATGATCATATTGAATATAATGAGTGATAAAAGGTGTGTTCAATATCTTTTTCACTGCTTCCAAAGCCATGCTGTAATCACCATCATCATCAAGAATCTCGATGAAATTAGACAGAATCAATTCATCTTCTTCTTTCTTCTTTTCGATCCGTTTTTCCTCTTCGATCCGTTGTTCCTCGTCAATCTGTTCTTCTTTGTCTGAACTAAAAATACATTCTTTCTTACAAATTGTAAGAGAAAAGTTATCACTTGACTCAGTCAGGTATCTAAAATTATCCTTTCCGATATTTTTTGTCAAGAGCCATTGTAGTCCTATATCCGGAAAACAAGTCGAGTCCCTCAGGTTATATAACTAGAGATAAACTAGGGTGCTATAAGTCCTGTATTGAGAGGATACATAAGTTATATCATGTTTTGTATCGTGACGGTACTTATAATATCTCAAGTCTCAAAGTTACTTAGACCACGTTGATCGCTAATTGTGGTGGGTGCTAAAGGTTTCTCGAGAGCACTCTGGATATGTGAAGTTCCATATTAGGTAGGTACCTCGAAAAGTCAATACCTATGTCAAGTACTTACGCCGAATGCCTAAGGTGTTGTCTCACAGAAGTTTTTAGTATAGCTCAAGACTAATTATTATGAAGAACCTAGGATTGATCAAGTGCTATATCGAGAAGGCCCAGAGCACACGCTAAGCCATATAAGGTATGGGTTTGATTAAAGGAGAAACTAATGCCGACACCCACATCGGCACCCTCATCCTTGTACTTTCACCGTCTAGTATGACATTTGCAACTCTTCAGCGAAAGAAGACGGAGGATTCGATTGTAAGTGTAGATGTGAATCATGAGTCGAGGATTACAAAACTTCTAACTCATCTTTGTCGACTTCTTAGTGTTTTGTCGAAGTCCATTGACTATTCACCAGATCGACGGTAATATCGTTTACCGATCCATGGAAGCACGCAATAACACACTCTCTTTTCAATAGAGAAAATCGCGGCTCTGTATCATCTTCCTACGAAAAGCTATTCGTGATCAAAGACTATCTGGTGATATGTATACTACCTATAGAACTAGAGAATCTCTAAACAAAAGATATTGCAAAGGACAAGTTTCATATACCTACCTTCACTTTGATTTTGAAAGTGAAAGTGGTAGAGTAATATTACTTTAACGGCTTTTCAAAGTTAAGTTAAATTTAAAGTGACATACCTAAGCTCCGATTTATTCCTCTCATCGTGCATTCTTGAGCGGACTTCAAGGTTGTCCTGTCTGTATGTGTGATATAATCGGCCAGGCAACTTCTCTTGAATTAAGACCATTGGTAGATCGCTTGCAAATCTTATAAGTTTGACCTTTTGTTTTAGACGTCTTAAAAGATCAACACGATCAGTTGGATTAAAGGAAATCTTCTGAATAGATAATGCGTCAGTAAAATATTGTAACGCGTCATCGATTCTGTGCTGTTCGTATAATAAGGTTGCGATATTGTCCAAACTTTGAATAATACTAATATGATCTGATGGAAGCAATTGCTTTCTAATTTTGAGCGATTCTCGCAAATGCTCTAATGCTTTGTCTATAGATTGCAACCCCCAACGAGCAAGTCCCAGATTATTCAAACTGGCTGCTATATCCAGATGAACATGAGGCAGTTGTTCTTTACGAATTTTGAACGATTTTTCATAATAAACCAATGATTGTTCATAGTCTCGAATTTCATAATATACATTACCAATATGATTCAATGCTACTGCTGTGTCTAGATGTTTCCGACCATAAAATTTCTCACTAATCTCTAATACGTCAAGATAGAAATCTAGCGATTCTTCATACATCTCCTTGCGAAGATAAACATGAGCCATAACTGTCATCGGTCTAGTTGAATCCTTGATACGAGATCCTTTAACTACAAAAATCATCATTCGATAAGCACGTTTTGCAAATATATATGCCCTATCCAGCTTCGGTTTGCATAAATATGCGGACCCCATTGTGTTAAAAATTCGTGCTTCATCTACTTTATCGTCAGATGAGTTCAATAAATTTTTGAAATAGGTGAGCGATTGATCATATTTACCCATCTGAACTAATAATATTCCGAATAGAATATCTGGAGTAGTTTCCTCATTCCTTTTTCTGTTCAGATCAACATATTTTTTGGCTATTTTCGTACCGGCATCAGTCGCTGTAAGTTTTACTACAACTATCTGCGGGTCATTCTCGCTAATCGATTCGATTTTAAATGTACTGCTTAGATCAAATAATACTTCCTGCTCCTGTTCAAATTCACTATACTTTGTTATATTGGCAAAAACAATCGATTCCAATATGTCTGAACTGCATTCGATTTCTTGGAGCACAGAAACTATGTTGGTTCGTTTTGTAGGCTTTGTTGCAAATTCCATAGCAATATCTTTTGAATAACTAGTAGAAAGAAATCCGTTAGCGGAAATTATACAACCGAGATTTTCTTTTAATTTCGTCAATTCGTCGTTTCCCATTTTTAAGCCACGATACAATTTAATCGTATTTTTTTGTTTTCGAATTTGACTTTTATGCATGCGGGCTAGCTCCGATGATAAGTCACTGATGAAGAATCGAAATATATGCAGTTGTTCTATATCTTCCGTACGTAAAGCTTTGTTCACAAGTTTATATAAAAACGAATTTTTTGTATACCAATAAATACTTTCATCCACATGGTACGATTGCTCGAAATCGATAATATTTTGCTTTTCTTTTCCGTCTCTACGATAAAATTGACAAGCAAATTCAATTAACTCCTTTTTAGCTTGGTCCTTTCGCGGCATTCGTAAGATAACATCTTTAAATAATTGAAACCATAAAAATTCTGCGGACTCTTTTGATAAATCATGTGTAGAGTTTTCTTGATGTTCATTATAAAAGGTGAATGCATCAACCTGTCTGTGTAGAAGTTCGACTTGTTGCTTGATGGATTCGATCAACGCGGAAATCTCACAATAAATGCCAACAATTAATTCATTTGACTGTAACAGAGTTTCATATTGGTCAATTTCGAGACAGAGAATGAATATTGAATCAATTTGTTTCAACGGTTTAATTTCTGACATTATCGATGTAAATTCTTTTCCCGATGTGATAAGAAATATTTTTTCGTTCTCAATTGATCGCATATACGTGATACACTCGACCCAATCTGAGTACAATATTACCTTATCATTGATTTCTCGTAATGTTTCTAATGTTCGCTTTGTATCTTCAGTTTTGTCGTTTTGTGGATCATACCAAATTAATGTTATGCTTTCTAAATTTGGTTTTTCTAACGTCGATAATTCAGGATTAGCATTACTTTTGTTCGAAGAAGCAACTAAACGAAAATCAACCTGGTGCAACATAAGAAAAAGCGTTGACTTACTGGTCTGAATGGAGTTTTCTAAATTGTGTTTTGATGACTTCTTGTCGCTCATGCTTTCTAAAAGAACATAAAGATGCAAAATCTCCGAGAAGTCGAAAGAACTCGATTTTCAAAAAGTATATCTTTGATCGTACTAGTTTGTATCTAAGGTGGGTGTGGGCCTTCTTTCTCTCACTCCTTCTGCAATGTTTTTATATTCGTTATATTGGCTCCTAACGTGTAAAATCTGTGATCGAAACTCACCAACAAACGTCTATGTAAACCTTCAAACCATTGTTCATTCTTACCCACACCCCAAGGTAGATCACCTCTTGATCTAGGTGCACATCGATCATAGTCTAGAGATTGTCACGATTTCAGCTAATACTCAAGTTAAACGTGCGACTTGACGTGTGATCTACTCTTTTCTGATCATTTCGATACAGTAAAACTCACCACAATGAATGTCTTGTTCCTACTGAAACAGTTCGTCGAACGATAGTCCTTGTGTGCGCAATATGAAAAGGTTTTTTT